CACTGCTCTGGGGCACATCCCGGCGGCACAAGCTCTCGTGCATTAAAGGCAGCTGCCAACGCAATGAGCTCGCGCTTCTAGCCTTCGCTGCGGTACAACATAAGGTGAAACGGAGTATAGGAGGGGGCACGTTGCAATATTGGTGAAGCATAATCATAAAAAGTTTAAACGACGTTATAGCCAACGTGACCGTAGATCTCTGGCAGTTGGTGCGCGTGACATGTCACGTGCGAGATGGATGGTTGATTGTAGAAGGAATATTCCTTGCAGGCTTGCGCGCGCTCCGTCCGGTAGGTTATATCAGATCGAAGGCTAGACGAAGGCTATACTTTGTTTCACCTTATGTCCGAGCGCGGACGAAGTTATGAGCCGAAGGGCCAATCAAACAGCGCAAAAAGCGCAACTTAATGGCGTGCTTTCTGCGCTTGATAGGACTAGCCGGCGGAGGAGCACGCACAGACAGACGGCGAATACCGGTTAGCCTTATCAACTGCAGCGAAAGAGGAGCGAGAGAAGCGTTGTGAATGAGGTTTAAAGGGGGGGGGGGGGGGGAAGGTGAGGGCCAATTGTGTATGCGCACTGGGCGCTTTTGTCATTAGGGGAGTTGTAGTAGATCGTTTTTCTCCTCCGCTACGGTATTCCCAAAGAAAATGCCGCAGCTGCGCATGCGCGCCGCCAGCCTTGTCTGCATAGTTCAAGGTCTTGTGGCGGATTACGGAGCGCTATCCGGGTGCTTAACGGGTTGCGGAAACGGTCTACTATAATTCCCTATACTGGCTCCAGCGAAAGAGGCACAACGCCATGACGTTGTGCCTCTTTCGCTGTTTGATTGCCCCTTCGGCTTATAACATCGGCCGCGCTCAGACCTAAGCTGAAACGAAGTATAGCCAGGCTAGCTACGGTCACGGTATGTGGTCACGTTTGTCTGATAAGTGAGGAGAGTAAGGAGGAAAATGGAGAAAGAGGCGAGGCGTCAAGGGCTTGTGGAAGCTACGCGGCTGGAGTCATGCCCTCTCCTACCCTTCTATCCTCCTTGCACCTACTCAAGACCAGCCCCAAGGGAACAATGGGATTACACAAATGTTGGGAAGGCATTCACATATAAAACTTCTAATACAAAGGATGGAGTGGGAGTTGGCTTGAACTAAGAACTTGCCAACTCGTGTGGTGTAGTATATGAATGCACACTGAAACAGTGTAGAGGGTGTAAAAATCGACGAGGGCTCCGCAGGTGGGCCTTTAGCACCAGGGATACTTCGCTGGTAGAAAAGCGTTGGTGTAAGCACTTCCCGTGGTCGGCGACCTCGAGAGACAGACGTACAGTGCGCCGCAATATGAAAGACCCACCGGGAGCGCGTGGCCGAGGCGGTGGCTGGCGGAGGCGCTGCGAGCGCTCCGGGCAATTCCATTCTGCTTCGAGGGGAGGACGCTCATGCAGGGCTCAGCGCAAACTTGTAAGCGCGCGCTTTAGCCGAGCCCCGAGTGAGCGTCCTCCCCTCGAAGCAGAATGGAATTGCCCAGAGCGCTTGCAGCGCCCCCCGCCAGCCACCGCCTCGGCCACGCCAGCCACGCGCTCCCAGTGGGTCTTTCATATTGCAGCGCACTGTACTTTACGACGAGAGGTTCGGAACGCGCGTTTTCTGCCGAGAATCGAAACGTGCGTTACGGGCCGGGAGCACGCGGTGGCTCTGGCCGGCACCGTTGACACAGCGTGTTTACATCGGTCTTTCTCGCATAGGTTGTCCGCTTCGCCTTGCGAGAAATGGTTTTGCTTGCATCCGAACCAGCCCGACCTTTGGCCTTAAAGGGGCACTGGCACCCCAAAAGTCGTATTATTTTTTATTGCCTAAAACGATGCAAGTTGTAGTCATAGACACGCAAAGAAAAACGCATCGCGAAAAAAAAGTACCCCGCGCGCGCCTTTTTATTTTTGGCGTTTGTATTTCCCGCGCTCACCTCCTTGCTTCTTCTGATCGGTGCCGTCAAAAATCGGGAAATTTAGAAGCTTTGTAGGCGACATTTCTATAACATTTAATAACGGCAATGGTAAAACATGTTTTTTAACGCAATTGCGAACGCACTACGGCCCGTCTTTTTGAAATACCAAAAATCAGATTTCGGTGTGATGTCGCTTCCTGGATTTGTATCCTCCTCCGGAAAAGTTGGCGGCGCTCGAGCAGAGGCTTATCGGCGAGTCGAAGTTCGCGTGGCGCCCCCTTACGGCGAACCGGGGTGACGTCACGGCGAGGAGAGAATTTTTCCCCGACTCGGCCCGCTCGCCCTGTGGAGGCTGTGACGACGCTAGCTGACGGCGCGCTCGTTTCTATTTAATTTTGTTGGCGTGTTTTTCTTAGGAAGTGTAAATTTTTATTTGAACCTTTATTGAGGTACGGTCTGCAGCTACAGGCGAAGCTTCAACAAACATTTTAAACATGGTTGACAGGATCAGATAAGATTAGCGCAAACGACAAGAGAAGAGAAAGGTAGGACAGGACAGGACAGAGCGCTACTCACAATTTTATCTGATCATGTCTAACCAACTAGCCCAACAGATGATATTGATGGTTGACAGGGCAGGCAACGCATGAATCACAGCTGGTATATGAAAATAAAGAAATATGGCCACAATTGCAGGAGCGTCACTATAGATTTACATCTCGCACAATAAATGCTGCTGATGGTCTGAATGAATTGGGAGGTTATGTATACTATTTTTTTTTTGTATCTCTGTTTTTAAACAAGATCGCCGAAGCAGAATAGGTGCATGCTGCTCGAGCAACATGTTAAATACAGTCTGGGCCATCAAGAAAATATCACAAGTAAGACAGCCCAAGTGCAGGGGCAAAGTAAAAAAGACAAAAAAAAAAACAAGGAACATTTATTATATACAGTGCTTGCATTTGACCTTTGATGGATTCGGATAGTATTTCAATGGACTACACGGGTGGTATTTGTGGACTTGTTTATATCAACCCTCAAGTAATGTATAAAAAACGTAAGCGAAGGTGTCTAGCTCGTTATTAGCCCCTTAAGCCCTAAAATTGAGATTTTACTTAAATCGAATTGTCCTGAAGTTAAAATACCAGACGCTTTTCTCACGCAGACTATCGCCCTTCACAGGTTCCACATTTTTTGCTACTAGTGCTGCATCTTCCACTGGACAGACGTTCGAATGCTTGCTTTTACTCCTGTTTTCCTCTGTTGTCAGAGAGTCCAGCTGTAGGGAGTTTGGAGGCTGAGGAAGCTTTTGGGGACCTGCAGCAGTGTCTCTTTTAATTGGAAATAACAATTCAGACTAAACGGTGTAGCTTCGGAATAGGCTGGAATAAAGAATGTCAGGAAAAAGTATAAGCATTCCACATTACGGAAATATTGCCGTGCATAGTTTGGCAGTTAATACATATCATACAGAGAACTGGGGGCAATTCGGCCGTTTTTGCTGCTACCATACAAACTAATTTCCAGTAAGTGTGCAGCTTCTAAGAAATATGCCTGCATACGTGTATAAACTATATAATTAATTCACGAAGAAGCCACATTTATGTAAAACAACCCTGTTCCACGAGCACTTCAAAGAAAACATCTGCGAACCAGCGCATGCAGAGTGGCACCGCAGAGTCAGGGTCGCGAGCTAATTTGCCGACCACCCAAAGGCGCATGATATAAATGCCACTTCAAATGCATTGAAAGCGGGATGTAATATTGTCTTAAATCATGAACGTGCAAGGAACAGAATTCCAGCGTCTCAAACGCTTGCGCCATCGCTTCACTGACCTCTCGCAAGATTGCCTTGTGTCGTGTGGACGGACGGGGAGGCTCATCGGCGGAATTGCCTCCGCCGATAGCTTTCGGGATTTGTAACGCAATTTTAAAGGTAAAAGGGACAAGCAGGCTTATAAAATGTACGGAAGCACGTCAATATCGGCCTAACTCAACTTCTTGCACACCAGGTAAACGAAGTGCAGCTCCATGAAGAGCTTGCGGCACACAACGCCAAACCAGGAAACCGGTGCTGGGAGGCGAGCCGATGCGAGATCGCGGAGCGGAGTACTCGCCCTGACGTCACAGTACACCTCACCCAATCCGGGCGCGGCGACCGCAGCGACGCTTGTGCTCGCTCTCGGGGCTAATCCCGCCTGCTAACCTCCTCCTCGCTTCGGGTCGCGGTGGTGGAGGTCCGAAAGTCGAGTCGCAGGAGACCGCAAAATTTGACTCACTGCACTGGCGCGGATCGAGCGGGAACTTCAAATTCGGCATTTGGAAATTGTTTTTTTAATTCAGAAATACTCAATTCCCAAGTTTCGAATTTTGAGGGTAATGTCCCGGCATCGTTTTCAATCGTTTCGGATAATAAAAAAAAAAATATATGATTTTGATGTGTCAGTGCCCCTTTAAGATGTACGCAGACCTTGGGTTCCCACGCGGGAATATAGGTAATCGCCACGAGGCGAGAGTCAGCCGATTGGTTGTGGCCGTTCGGCCAGTGGGAAACGCCAGTCTGACGTCGAGGATTCGCCGGTCCACTAAAAGGGGATGGACCAACAAGTGACTTTGAGGGGAAACTCAACAATCGAGTTTAGTTTGTGCTAGGGCTCGAGAGCCGACGCTTCGTAATCGAGTTAGGTTGTGGGATTCCAAGGTACTTTGTCCCCGTAATCGGGACATAACCCCACGAGCCAGCCAACTTCCGAGCTTGGATAAGCTAACACCTGACCACCTCCTTCCCGACCCCATACAGGGGAAGCCATCTTTTTGCAGTATTGTTCCTCTTTATATTTTATTTGCTACAAAAGTATTAAATTGTTTATTGAGAAGCAATTCTAAAGCTTAACTGAATTAGTCGTCGACAACCAAGGGAAGCAACTTCGTCCCCGGCAAGACCCGCCCAGCTTCCCACAACGAAGTCCGTCACCCCATCCAGACCTGGAGACCCGGATGGTGCAAGGTGACCGAACGAAAGAACCCGTACTGAGGGGATGGAGCTTATGAACTGCAACCAGTTGACAGAGCAAAATCAACTCCAAGAAGTTTTATTTGCAAGGTCACTACTACTTCCATACAAAGGCCCCACAGCATCACTTATGGGAAGTGTACAAAATGAATTGTATGCTACTCTGTACATATATATATGTATAGATATATAAATATATGGCTATGTCCACTTGTGCATACCACAATCTCGATGTATACCACCCCCCTTAGAAAGATACCTAGCACTGCCAGAAAAAAGAAAATAACAAGGGAAAAAGTCTACACAATGTTCGAATTCTCACACGTGTATCCAGACCACCAAGGAGAACATAAAGACGGTGAAAATGATTTGTGCCCGTGTGGTCTAGTTCCAAATGACGAACACAGAGACCGCACAAAGTAAATAAACGAGACCGACAGGCCACCATCACAGTCAGTGTGCTTCCTGGCAGTGAGAGGAAGAAATGAAGAGATGCAGCATTCGGAGGTTTGACGTCACCTATGTACAGGGTCATTGGGACAGACACAGAAATGGACCGAGAAAGAAAAGGGCCCAAGTGGAAAAGCGGGGAGGGGGGGTCGCACGCTGTGGTCGTACATTGCACTGTACAGCTGCGGTACAGGGCATTATACGGACGACAGACCCTGCCCGTTGCTCGGAGGGGCAAGGGCAACCAGGCAAGGGCCGGAGACGCCCACCTTGCATAGACTTTGCTCCCAAAGCAGCTTGAGGACGTAACCCATAAATAGGAAGAACCAGGAAGGTACACAGAGAAGACATTGGACAGCTTTGAGCTCCGAGCACGTGAACTTTCTTCGGCCTATTGGGAGAGGACTACTGCCATCTGGTCAGGAACAGGACCAAGCATCCACTGCGGCATGGAGCACTGTGCTAAAAGTCGTGCTGAACAGAAAGCCTTCAGTCCCACTTGACTGGACAGGGTGACTAAACAGCAACAACCGATTTAATTATTCCTTCGTAGCGGCACTCCAAGTTTCACAACCTTCGCGTCCACAATCCAAGCATGCCGCCATGCCCGTCAGAACACCAAATAGACACGCTGTTTGTGAACAAAGCCTGCAATCTACTCTCCTGTAGAGCAGGTCGAGAAAATTGTTCTCTACGAAAATGCTATCTGTATAGGTGGAATTTATGTCTAAGAGCACTACCTGCCCCATGGGTTCCTTGGTTCCTCCCATCGATGGTGGTGACTGGCTATCTGCGTGCTCGGCGGGAAAGTGCATGCGCATGCTTCGTTTACAAACAGCGTGCCTATTACTCGAGTAAATACGGCTACTCCCAAATTCTAAAGGAAGACCGCACAGCTAAACATTGCTGCACTTTCTGCGATTGCATGTCAGCCAATCAAAAAAGAAAGGAACCAGTCAACATACTATGGGGAGTATATGTGCAATGGAAAACAACACCACTGGAAAAGTCAGACCTTTGGCTTCTTTTTTACGCCTGAGAGAGGCACCCAGAAAAAGACATACTAAACATGCTGAAAGACCACATGGCACTGTGTAGACTTGCCGGGGAAAGACGCCTACTGGGCTTCACAGAAAAAGAAGCCTTTTCATTTGGGCCTATGCATGGTACAAATTTCCTCCTGCTCCACAAAAATAAATTGAGGCAAGCGATTCACATGCTGCTTCATACGATTTCTAATGTGTTGCTAAAACCTAGAACTAGGAGACACACCGGCAACTAGACTATGCAAAATCTTCTAGGCTCATTTCCTAAATCTCTGCAGCAACCTACATGCACATATAGCTGTCACACTTGATCACACTTTATTGTCGATGAGCAACAGTCGTTAAGCAGTTGGCCAAAGTGGAGAGAAAAAAAAAGAGGAGGGGGGTGGGGAGAGGAAGCCGCAAAAACACCCTCTCACCAACACCATGATCCCAGCTCTAGGTACATCCGCGTACTGAAAACAGTTGCCATCAAAAACAAACAAAAAGGTATGAGAAAAAAAAAGGGAAAGGAAAGAGCAGAGAAGGAAGAAACAGTTAAAAAAAAAACGAAGGGGCAAGAAGAAAAAAAAGAACGCAAAATGGAAGGACATTTTTCGCTCGTTTGTTTCGTTCCTGGTCCTGACAAGTCCCAGACCTAATCCTGGCAGCATGGGGGCCCTGCTGCTGCTCCGCTTCCTCCTCTCACCCATGCCACTGCCCACTCTCTCCCCCTCCGTCCTGGGGTTGTGAAGAAAAAGTCCTCCGAGCTGGTTCCCTGCCTTCGCCGGCGAAGGTAGGATGCCCTAGACTCTTCCACTCTTCTCATTTCTGGAAACGGAAAAGGTCAAGCCAAACAGACAAGCATTAGATCAACGAATTGCCACTGTCATTTCCACCTGGGCCTGGCTTAGGACTACAAAGTGCATCTTCCTTTAACCATAAGGACCAGTGTCTTCCAGATACTGACAAGAGTGCAGACAAAGGTTTCAAACCGCATGCACTTCGTCTTTAAATTAATTCTAAAAGCTACCACCCTCCACGCCTTTTGTCGCAACGTTTTTATAATTTATTCATTCGGATTATTTTCAAGGCTCGCTTGATACAGATGATGCTTTATGGTATGTCAAACACTAGGCTCGCATGCACGAAGAGGGAAAATGATTGCATAAGGCTATTTTTAGCAATATTCCTACACCTAGTTGTACAGAGCATGACAGAAGATGAACAAGCAATCGCCAATCTTTTGTTTTTCTCTTCCTACGTAAAGGCGGCCACCGCTTATTTCCAAAGCTGCCGGGGAGGCAAAATGGATCAGTCCCGGGCACAATGTCGACAAAATACTAGTGCTAGAAAATGCCCGCTGTCCGACCCAAGCTCAAGAGTGTGGATGTCACATCCGCACTCACTGTGTCGCACAGTGTACCCTAGCGAAAGATGTGGAAAAGTTTAGGCGAGCGCGCAGCTCCGAAGACCTACGGTGCTATTTCCAATGGCAGGAAGCCGAATCGTCGTCGAGGCTGTTTGAACGAGCGACGTTTCAGTGACTGTCCGACTTTTGTCACAACTGCTTACCTTGTCAGCAACAAACAGCTACTGAGTCAGAACCAACAGTGTAAAGAGTACGCACACGCCCAAAAGTGCAGTAATCCCTCGTTATAACGAAATAGTTTTTTACGAAATATCGCATTTTTCGAAGTTTGACGCGGTCCCGATCGTAACGCATGCATTTTGAACCGAATTATTCAAAGTGTATCGACGGCCGGACATGCTTATTACGAAGGACGATCCTCGCGAATTATCGCATTTTTCTACGTTGGACGCGGTCACGATCCCAATGCATGCATTTCGGACCACATTATTTGAAGTGTATCGACACCAGACATGCTTGATACGAAGAACGATCCGCCGAAAGTACAGTATGTAAGCCAGCGCAAGAAAAAGAAATGTTTGCTGTCCCTTGTCCGCAGTTGGTTTTATTCCTTTTATTGCCAGCCTTCCAAGACGTGCGCCAAAAAGCCATTAGCTGCGAAATGTATATAGCATGTTGGCGCTATAAACGCGCGAGGAGCACATGCCTTGCTTGCAGAGTGTCTGTCGCGCCCACCTCTTTGGAGCCCCGAGGCACCTGCCCCTCGACCCCGACTTGTCAAGGGAGCAAAGAAGGCGGGAGATCGCCACTTCGGGAGCTCTGTGCGTACAGAGGAATGCGGCAGTGTCGGCAGTATGTTAAGCGACAGTTCCGACAATTCACACGGTGCCCGTGGTGCCCGCGGCCTGGCGCTCGTCGGAATCAAGTCAGGGAAGCACATCCCCTGCCGGTGCCAACCTTTTTGGAAGCACCGTCCCAAGTTATCTATAAAATAAAAAATAAAAACTGTCTCACTAAAACCGTTCACTACAGCCAAAGCTACAGGGAGAGCGTATGCTATCCTCTCCTTTAGCTTTGACTGTAGTTGATCGTCGCGACGCACGCGATGCACGTGTTTGCCAGCTTGTCGACGTTGCATTTATGGATCGCGTGCGCGCCGAGGCAGCGTCTTTGATATCGTGTTCTGCGTTGCGAAGGCACCTCAGCCCGTCTGCCATGTGTACAGTAGCTGCGTGCAACCTGCTTCACTGAAGCCTGCGCGGAAGTGTTTGACCCTGGAACAGAAGAACTGGAGAAAAGTGGTCGACTGAAGAGGTTGGAAATCGCAAAAGAATTCAACATCCCGGTATCGACGCTGTCGACGACTTTTCCCGCACGCGCGAGCTTGGTGCGCCAGCAGACGACACCGAGATCTGCGACGACCTTTACAGAACTGTGCATGAGATGGTCGGTGCAACTCCCGAAGATGACTGACTCGTTTGCACTTGTGGATACGGACATCTCGGTTGTCGCTCCCGTCACGGATGCCAAGATAGTGCCAAGATCTTGGCACGATCTTGGCACAATCTTGGCACGTCACAGATGCCAAGATCGCGAAACATGCTTCGTCTTCTTCGCAACAAGGTGGAGAGCGGCCGCGGCGATGACAGCCTTATGCAGTGCTTGAGGCAGTTGGAGGAGGTTTTTTTTTTAATGCCTGGCAAAAATGCCCGGCAAACTGATCACCCGTCTTTTTTCATGTTTCAGTAAGCCTGGATAATAAGCAAGGTTTGTTTCATTGAATATATATTTGTAAAAGCCTTCCACACTGTTCCTGTGTACTTTCAAGGTTCCTGTTACTCTTTTTATGGCTCCCGCGTTTTTATCAAATTGCCGCTTTTATCAAATTTTTTTGCCGTCCCATAGACTTCGTTATAATGAAGGATTACTGTATGCACATGTTCGAAAAAATGCACATGCTCAAAGGTATGCCCATGCAGGAAAGAATGTGCGCACCTGAGCTGCTTTCGGGGTCGCTGGTTGCTTCCCACCCGCCGCGATGCCCCCATAGGGGAATTTCTTCTTGTCGGCCGGCTTGAGAATCTGCCACAAAGAGAGCACCCGCCGTCCTGAAGCCATAACATCAAAAAGCCAGAAAAAAAGAAAAGCCGGGGACGAGAGCACACAGCCCAATGGCGACCCCAAAACAAAAGTACCGCCCACCTGGAAGGAACACATGAGCGTCTCGTCCACACTCATCATGGCACCGGCATTGTCAAACTCCCCGCAGTAGTTGGGTGCAGAGAAGAGGGTCACCAGCTGCCGCTTGGCAAAGAACTCGTAGCCATCCTCCACCACCTGCAGATGTTGCAGCCGGCACGCAGCAATTGAGTGGGAAACAACGCCCTCCCCACAGCACGCGTGAAACGCGTCTCCGATTGGCACGTTAATCGCGCCCCCTAAAAGTTCTTCCTCAATTTCCGCCCGCCGACATCGTAACACTTTGTCGCCTGCCGTGATTCCGACAATGGCAGAGCAGCAGAGGTGGACACGGCAGATGTCTGTTCTGCTGCAGATCACTCTCCAACCTGAGTGTCTCCGGAAGCTTCAACAGCAACGAGTTGGGGCACCGCAATGCCAGCGACACTAGCTTTCACTCAAACTTTTAATGATTGCGCATTAGCGCCCCATTACGTGTACTGACTTTGTACTGATTTGGACTGACCAAAGTTCGCAACGTCGCCGCGGGACAGCGCCAGCACCACACAGAATGTGGAAACATATCATATCCCTATATATTCCTATATATATTCCTATATATTTAATTTTATTCTTGATATGGAGTCTGAACTAAAATGAAGAAAAAACATTCTAGTTATTTTTTCAGTTATTTTTTCAGTTATTTTGTCATATTCCTATTTTTTAATTTTATTCTTGATATGGGAATCAACTAGAATGAAGAAAAGACATTTTCGTTCTCTTTTCAATTATTTTATCATATTCCTATATATTTAATTTTATTCTTGATACGGAATCTGAAATTAAATGAAGAAAAGACATTTTCGTTCTTTTTTCGGTTATTTTATCATAATCCTACATTTTTAATTTTATTCTTGATACGGAATCTGAACTAAAATGAAGAAAAGACATTCTCGTTCTTTTTTTCAGTTATTTTATCATATTCCTATATTTTTAATTTTATTCTTGATATGGAATCTGAACTAAAATGAAGAAAATACATTTTCGTTCTTTTTTCAGTTATTTTGTCATATTCCTATATTTTTAATTTTATTCTTGATATGAGATCTGAACTAAACTGAACAAAAAATATTTTCGTTCTTTCTCCAGTTATTTTATCACATTGGAAACTGACTAGGAAACACCTGCAAGCGCCAACAGATGGCAGGTGGGGTGCACTGGGCATGAATATTCGAGCTCACCCATTACAAAGTCACAGCATCATCATCATCACTGCTGAAGCCTGTCTAGGAACCATATAGTGTGTGCTTTAGATGCCCGTAGAAGCTCCAGCCACAAGCTTTAAAGACAACTAGATGTACTTCAGCTGCAGTTCCATTCTTTGACCTAGCACACTGCTCTCGGTGTGCAGTCCTCTTAACACGTCACCGGGCCGTAAGTGCACGGCGTCTGTGCTCCCGTGTGCACAACATGTGTGGCAACATAAGGCCGAAAAGCACCAAAGACGCCGTTTGCATGAAACCGCCGACGTTTGAGAGCAGAGATTTGATCTCTGGTCGCCACATATACAACATTCAAACGGTGGCATATACGACCTGCTTCGCGTTGCAGGGGCTGCTCGTGTGCACAACCTATCTGCCGCAAAACTAAACGAGCGTTTGCGGCGAATAAATATGCATGACGAAATGGCTTTGTCGGTTTGCGCGCATCCTTCGTACACACGCTTGTACCAAGGAGAAGGAGGGTTTGGGGAAGTTTAGCCCTGCGAAAAAGTGCTGGGAGGCCGCATTCACCGTGCTTTCTTATATATAACCGCCGCATGCAATGCCAACATATTTCCTCGAGAATCAGCGTAGTGGCGGCGGCGATTGCAATACATTTTGTTCCTCAACTTCCACGACTGATTGCCGGAATCCCAACAACCGACAGTGCGACAGGCCGGCATCCATGACCTTGCCTGCTGCCACTTCGAGACCACTCTCGACGCATGGGCAGCGCAGGATGCTAAATGCACCGGTCAAAGACGCACTGACAACATTGCAATGCAACCGAGCAAACAAAAAAAAAACGAGGCAAGATGAAATGCAGGTGCACGTCCAGGCACAACCCGAGCGACTCCCCCACCTGATGCGCCCTGCAGATGAGGTCAAGGTCATGCTTGTGGAGGAACTTGGCCACCACGTCGGCCCCAAAAGTGAAGGAGACGCCACGGTCGTTCTCGCCCCAGCCCATGATGTCCTTGTCCGGGTCAGACCAGAGCAGGTCGCACAGCAGGCCCTGGTCCGGCACGTCCGTCGGGCGCATTATCCGGCGCACCTGCTCCATCGACTGCAGGTCCGGGCTCAGTCCTGGGATGCGGAGCCCGCCCAGACGGTCAATGCCGAACAAAAAACTAGCTATCGGCGACTCTGGCGCGCGAAATTGAAGGCACTTGGCGGCTAAAACAAAAAACCAACTTTTTCGAGCCGATCAGACGTTTGCGACTCCCTGCGGTCTAAAGACGAAACCAGGAAAGTATGCTTGAAACTGTGGTGGTCGGTTCGTCGAACGGTGTTCTGTCGACGGTTCGTTTTGTCTAAAGGCCTTCAGCTTTCCTTGTGACGTTTCATTGAACACAAACCTGCCCTTTTCACAACAACCTTTTCGCATCTTGCCTGGTTTACAGAAGGAGAGAGGATGGGGAGGGGGTCCAAGGCTTGGGTAAACACGCCCGGGCAAATTACACAACTTTTAGAGGCTTAGCAAAAAAAAAAAAAAACTTTGTCGGCGACGAAACGTTGCGAAGGCGCGTGTCCACCCAACATAAAGTGTCGACGAGCCACGCGTTCGCAAGTTCTCCACAAAACGATCAGGACTCTCTTCTAAAACATGCAATGAAAATCGCTGATCCGGGAAAAACTGACGGAGGGGAGGAGACGAGAGCGCGCAAGGACGTCAGAGTGCCGAGCTTCGACTGGGAAGACCAGTGGGTAAATGCAAAAGCTGGCTGCCATACTCTCTACATGCTGCCAGCCCCTCTGTTTCCCATTGTATAGTTAATGATGGGATGAGCACGTGCAGGAAGCTGGGCATTCGAGAGAGACCATCCCGTCACCGACTATACACTCCGTGCGACGCGACCGGCGCGCCGCCGCGCGGCCGTTACCGAAGGTAGGCAGTGAGAGCCGGAGCGAAACGAAACCACGCCGCGTACGTTGGTACGCATTGAAGTCGGAGCGGTGCGGTTGCGCTGGGTTGACAGCATGAACTGCTGCGTCGTTAAGTGCTCTAATAGTAATGCGCCGTATCTCGTGGGGACGCAGTTTCACAGTTTTTCACCTCGACGATGTTTTGTGGGACAGCGACCGCGATGGACCCATGCCGTACAATGCGAGAAATTGTCTCCCGATCATGTCTGCCACTGTGTCGGCACAGCTGACATATTCTACACTGCCGCTTTGCGCTCTGCGTTTGTTTTCGTACCAGTAACGCCTACATATCTCAGCTCGCACTGAAATGCCATTCCACACTCGCGGGTATGCAGTGCAAATTTCGTTGAAGGAATGCCCTCGAAAGAAGTTTCGTCCCCATCGTACGTGTCAATGATATTTCCGGACCAGCATGGCACGCAGTCTGTACTTCATGAAGAAAGATTCGAACGGTTCAAAAAGTGAAAAATATGAATCTAAGGAAAACTACAATGAAACTTGGGATCACTGGACAATCGACGATTGAGTATGGAAGTTTATGTGGTGTGCTTTCTTTTTTGCTCAGCCTCCTTTTGGATGTGGAAACGCTGACACCCCGAGTTGTGTAGATAACAATTTTTTTTTCTCGGCTTTAGAGCCACCTATCGCAAAGTTGTTCGAACTGGAAGTACCGTTCATTGATCCGTCCTACCTGTAAAGTGTGCACCTCCCGGCCATGATGAGTGGTATTCTCTTGACAGCATTTGACGGTCAAAAACGGTTCCCATTTAGTTACGCCGGCCAAAAATATTTCCACCTGGTTAAACTATGCCACCTTTTTTAGGTATAATAAGTGTTTTGTCAAGTTACGGTTGTCCAAGTACCGGGCCGAAAATCAGCACCTCGCACAGCCAGATTACTACACAACAGCTCACCGCAAAAGCCTTTGACGGCCAAACCGTGTGTTGCCCGGCAACTTGGTTTTTTCGGTTTTGAAGCCACCTTCCGTAAAGTTGTTTCAATTGGAAGTACAGTGCACTAGTCCCTTCCTACCTGTAAAGTCTCCATATTCCATGACGAGTGGTATTCTCTTGACAGCCCTGTCACGGCCAAAACCGTTTCCCATTCAGTTACGACGCCCAAACCAAATTTCCACCTGGTTCCCCTATGCCACCTATTTTTGCTATCATAACTGTTGCGTCAAGTTACGCTCAGGTCCAAGAACCTGCGTGTCTAAATCTGCACTTCGCACAGCCCGGTTATAACACAACATTTTGGGTCCATTATAGGATATTCCTGACAGCTTTATTACTTTATTCGTTCGAACCATAACTTTCACACCTGCTGTCTTAATAAAACTTGGCCCACTTAGTGCTCGAATTTAGTGAACATCTTACTCGCCTCCTAATATCATCCTCCCACCAACTTTAAAACGACCAGCGAAACAAATTTTCCACTCAGAGCAATTATGGTGGCGGCCATCTTGCTTTTCAGAAAATTGCCCAAACCCCTTTTTTGACCGCAACTAGAGAAATTATTCCTATTGACGACTCAGACTCAATATATAAGAAGTGGAGAATAGGTTAAATGCCCTTCTTAGGACTGCCCCTGCACTCATGCAACGTCACCCTCAACGTATCGGCTCAAAAAGCAAAAGTTTCGTTCTTGCGCGCTTCCGCTGCCACAGCTTCGCACGCAAAAAGGCGCCGCAGGCTGCTGAGCCTGCCTCACTGTCGAACGCCAGCTCCTCCGCTAGCGGCGCTACGCGCGTTTTTCAAAGCGCCCCCTATAGTTCCCGCACGGAGTGTATAGAGAGGAATCTCTCTCGTCAGGGCCAGAGCCGTATATGGGGAGAGTTTGGTCAGTCTACGTCTCGTCGCCGTAACGCTCTCCTCCCAAGTGAGCCAATCAGCACGCGGCGTAGAGCGAGAGGCATGAGCGCATGCGCGTGAACTCCTGGCTGCTCCCACCTGAGTGGGCAGGGCCGCCATCTTCGATCATTCTCCCGGCGGAATGTGTGGGATCGGCATTAAATCTCTATTATTGCCTTTTATATCGCTGGCTCTGGCAAGAAAATGACATTCTGTTATTCCTCGGTGGGTTAAAAAGCTAATAAATGAAGTTTGCTCGGCGTATGGCCACAAACTTTTATTCAGGTGAAAAAGAAGTCTGCCCGTAGCAGACGACTCATAGGCTCAGCAGTGTTCTTCTCCGACCAGTCTCCGACAGCGTTGCTGAAAAATGGCAATCGTCTCCTTTTCGCTCCCTTCTTTCTCTCTTGCTCCTTCGGTGCTCTCCTCCCTTTCATTTACTTTCCTCCTCTCCGGCGCCTTCATCGCCACACCCACTGGCCAAACTCTCCCAATATACGGCTCTGGTCAGGGCAAGTTCACAAAGACAAAAAAATGACCTTGCAGGAGGGTTGCATTGCTGCACAGCCAATTCAGAAGAGAAACAGATTCAGGATTTCCAATACAAGGAACTGTGCAGCAGGTCAGAAGAACAAGATTTCAACCCACATCAGTAATCTGGATTATAGTCCGATTTCTCTCAAATGGCACCCCTTTTGTACAATTCTAATTAGAAGATATTATGATGCAATTACCTTTAAGACAAAACGTGGCAAGCTTCTATAATGCTAGTGCAGGCATTTGGTGTGCAGACATTGCCACGTTGCAAACAAAATAAATACTGCACTCTCTTTATAACATGATTTTACTATGCAGAATAAGCTACCGTAAAGCTATGAGTTATCACTAAAAGTAGAAGGCCATGAAAGGTCAACTCACCCCCATGCATGCAGAAAATTTTCTCATCAACTATGGCAGCCACAGGTAAACAGTTGAAGCAGTCTGTGAAGGTCTTCCACAACTTGATGTTGTACCTTCTCTTGCCTGGGTTGGAGAACGGGGAGATGCAATTATTATGCAGCTTCATCATGAGGTCTACAACACCCCACCACAGGAAAAAGCTTGTCCTCACACTTCCTCGCACAACCACAGAAATTGTCAGCAAAAGCAAAAAGACACGAAAAAAAGGAAAAAGTATGAAAGGTAGATCAATCAACGGCACCTAACAATTCATATCACCGGCGTATAAGAAAAAGCAACAAGGCCATGGAAGGTAAAAAAAAAACAAAAAACACCAACTAAAAAAAGCACTTTTTTTTTTTACAGAAATCAGATAACTGAACAAGAATCAATATAATGTATAAAAATAGGGCTTTCACGTTTCAGCCTAGCTTAAAAGCCTTGATACAGTTCATTCACAAGATAGAACACCAGGCGAGTCATTTAGATCAACCACCCTCAAAAAGCTAAGAGAACGAAAGGTACTGAATGTTTCTCCCAATTCCTAGAAAACGAAATTGAACTATGGCGAAATATCAGACGGTGATTCAAATGGTCTAATCAGATTCAAGCACGACCTCCTGGGCTTTTCAACCCCTCGTAAAAAAAAAAATTTTGCGACTGAGTCAAGTCACTTGCAAAGATCTTTATTGCACTCATTAACCCATCGAATATCACTGCACTCGCACACAATTTTAGAATGACAGATGTTTTTCGTAAACAGATTTATAGTTTCTTCAGGACTAAATCTCACGGTAAATGTCAGCTGCCATTCTCAAGGCTTCCAGAAAGTTCCTTATTAACAAGTTCATCCTACCAGCTGTTGTTACCTTACATTTTGCCAGAACGACTCTCTGGCAAAACCTGTATTTTTTCTGCTCATCCACAAACCCATCAGATACTACTGCAGCAACCGAAACTTTACGACAAAGGTTTGTAAGTTGAACCGCATCCGATACAAGCTTCCAACTTCCAATGCTTGCACAAAAGACAAGAAGCTGCAAAACATCCCAGGCCCGCGCTCGAGCCAGGACAACTAACACCTCTCCGTCATCTCCAGCTATCGCCGATCATAAACCTATCAGATGCTCTGGTGAGGTCATTCGGATAGGCGAAAAGCCGGCCTTTTCGCCTATCTACCGCCCATGCCGCCCCACTGTGCGTCACATCTGCCGCGTCTGGCGACTCACACTCGTCGTAGAAGCCATAGATGCGGTTGATGGAGGCGCACTCATGGTTGCCCCGCAGGATGAAGAAGTTCTCAGGGTACTTGATCTTGTAGGCCAGCAGCAGGCTGATGGTCTCCAGGGAGTGCCTGCCACGATCCACATAGTCCCCCAGGAACAGGTAGTTGCTCTCCGGGGGGAAGCCCCCATACTCGAACAGCCTTAACAGGTCGTAGTACTGGCCGTGAGTGTCACCTGCAACCACATAACGATGAAGCATTACAAAAGACGGAAAGATCACGCTCGAGGCAAAGCATTTACCGGATTCTTAACCTGTCACTGACTGAAGATATAGACCCCCTGGAATTTAATTGCAAGTTTTACATCCTCTAGCTATCGTGGGTTTTTCAAAGTTCACATTTTGAAATGAGAGAAGGTCCAGTCTCGAGACTTCATTTTAAGAGCGCTTTGTTACAACTAGTAAAAAAAAAAAGTTCAGCCTTTCCACTCTCGTGAAGAAGGAAAACCAGCGAAGCTGTACTCTATACGCTGTGTGCTTTTTCTACGTCATCGTCTGTTTTTTGCACTGTTTCCTACGATAAATTCCCACCAATGCGCCCAATTATCCATTCTTCTATTATAAAAGAGAAGAGGAGGAAGGAACGCCAACCAAAAATGAAAAGGAGCCCAACGTTTCGAAACCTGCTTGGTTTCTTTTTCAGGGGTGACTGTGTGCGCGAGGAGCAAGTGGTCTTCTTTTACGGCAGTGGACGTGATGTTTTCGTGATCGTAATGTGGCTGAGCCCGCTGACATAGGCGGGTGGTAAAGCGCCAAGCGACCGATTGATGTTTTGCGGTGTGGTTTGGATGTGCCATGACTCAACAAAGAGCCTCTGCCGGGAATTGGTCTCAATGTCGAGGATGCGTGTGTTGTCGAAGTCAATGTGGTGGTCATTCGAGTCGCTGTGTTCCGCAACCGCGCTGCGCTCATGATCGAACTTTCGCACGTCGGTTTTGTGCTGGCGAAGTCTTTCTTTAAAGTTTTTGGTTTCGCCGAAGTATGTGGCAGGGCAATCCGCACAAGAAATCTGGTAAATAACGCCTTGCGCTCTTTCCTTGGGGGGACGATCTTTCGGCCGGGGCATCAGGTGTCCAAGTGTTGACACTGGTTTGTGGGACATCTGAATGCCTTCTTTTGCCAGCACACGCGCGAGCGCTTCGTTGGTTTCCTTTATGTAAGGGACGCAGATGCGCATGGTTGAGCGGGGATGTGCGATTTCTTGTGTTACGCCGATTGGTCTTAGGCGTCGATCAGACTTACGTTGACGACGAGCGATTCGCTGAATAAAACTGCGTGTGTAGCCATTATTTAGCAGGTCGGAGATGATGGTTTCTTCTTCCTTTTTTCTGCAGTCCTCCGACGAGCAAATAGTCTTCGCTCGGGACAGGAGTGCCTGGACGACCGACGCCTTGTGGCTCGCAGGGTGGTTTGAGTCAAATCGGAGGTAGCGCCCAGTGTGTGTCGGTTTTCTGTACACTGTGCATTCCAACTGATCTTTTTGTCTTTTGACCAGCACGTCAAGAAACGGCAGGGCGTCATTCTTTTCACATTTAACAGTGAACTGGATGGCCGGCTCGATGGAGTTGAGGTGTGCCAAAAAGTTGATGACATCTGACTTCTTCATAATGCAGAAGCAATCGTCGACATACCGTAAAAACACTTTAGGGCGTGCGGTGAAAGACTGCAGCGCACGTTGTTCAATGGCTTCCATTGTCAGGTTGGCCGTGGTGACGGAGATGGATGCGCCCATTGCGGTTCCGCTGGTCTGCTTGAAGAATTCTCCTTTAAAGCTGCTGAAGTAGGTGCTCCCCAAGCAGAACTCCAGCAGGCGGCACAGCTCGTCCACCGTGAGGCTGGTCAGTTCGCTCAGCTTCTTGTCTCCCTCGAGGGCAGCTCTGGTTGTGGCGACTGCCGGGGGATTGGCACGCTGGTGAAGAGCGAGACGACGTCGAACGACACCAGGCTGTCGTCATAGTTTACCTTTAGTTGCGCAACCTGTTCCACAAAGTGCCCGGTATTCCGCACTTTGTGGAACAGTCGTCAACGTAAGTCTGTTCGACTTACGTTTACGATGAATCGCTCGTCGTCAACGTAAGTCTGATCGACGCCCAAGACCAATCGGCGAAACACAAGAAATCGCACATCCCCGCTCAGCCATGCGCATCTACATCCCTTACATAAAGGAAACCAGTGAAGCGCTTGCGCGTGTGCTGGCAAAAAAGGCATTCAGATGTCCCACAAACCAGTGTCAACACTTGGACACCTGATGCCCCGGCCAAAAGATCGTCCCCCCAAGGAAAGAGCGCAAGGCGTTATTTACTAGATTCCTTGTGCGGATTGCCCTGCCACATAAATCGGCGAAACTAAAAACTTTAAAGAAAGACTTCGCCAGCACAAAACCGACGTGCGAAAGTTCGATCATGAGCTCAGTGCGGTTGCGGAACACAGTGACTCGAAATACCACCGAATGGACTTCGACAACACACGCATCCTCGACATTGAGACCAATTCCCGGCAGAGGCTCTTCGTTGAGTCATGGCACATCCAAACCACACCGCAAAACATCAATCGGTCGCTTGGCGCTTTACCATCCGCCTACGTCAGCGGGCTCAGCCACATTACGATCGCGAAAACATCTTGTCCGCCGCCGTAAAAGACCACTTGCTCCTCGCGCACACAGTCGCCCCTGAAGAAGAAACCAAGCAGATTTCGAAACGTTGGGCTCCTTTTCATTTTTGGTTGGCGTTCCTTCCTCCTCTTCTAATTGAGCTATTGCACAGTGCTCCTTATAAAAAGTTGGCGTCTACATTTGTGCAAAAATACCTTTTTCATGCAGTTGTTTCTGCCTCTGAACAGAAAACTTTAGAAGCTACATTAAAACTAGATAATGATTGTTTTGAAAAAAGAAGACAAAACTATATGTAGCCTGAGTTTCATTACTCTAGATCTAATATAAAAAAGTGTCCCTGAGCCACATCTTGCCTTAAAGGGATACTGAACCGAAATTTGGATTCCGCAAAGTAGGGCTGCACAAGTGTTGAACGGGACGCTACGAACCCCAAAACATCACTCGTACATCGATATCTCAAACGGATGGCCGTACTTTTGGAAAAGAAGGGCGCGATCAAGCGAGTTCTTTGACGTAACTGTCCTCCGGGAGAATTTGAGAATGAGGAGAAGCGGCCTCGCCTTTTCTCCTCCTCGCTTCGGTTCACCAGCTTGACGGGACGTAGCGAGGAGGGGAGAGAATGGGAATCGCGACGTGCCTTGTCTCGTCAGCCTCGTCGGCCGGGTTCAATCGCGCCCTTCTTTTAAAAAAAAATATGGCGATTCATTAGATATATCGCCGTATGAGTGATAATTTTTGGTTTTGCAACTTCCCGCCTATCCGCCCTGCCTTGTGTAGCGAGCTCGAAATTTCAATTCGGTATCCCTTTAAAGGGATACTTCAACGAAATTTAAAATATACCCGCCGCGTTCACAAATATGCTGAATATTATCCACAATATCTGTAAATGACAATCGCACGTTTGTATTGTGAACCTGATGGCTGCATTTTTCCTCATAAACTGCCCCCTCTGGCAACCGCTGGGAGAGCAGCCAGCGAAGAGCCCGTCACATTCATGACGTGGTTTGTCTCGGGACCTTACAGCCGGACGCAGCGGACACCTGCGAGCTATCCCGGCCGATCCCGCTCTGTGGACGTAGCCCGTGATACGCTTTCCGTGCGTCGCTGGGCCCCCTCTTCAAGGTCACATGACATTCACACGGCCTTGGATAGGCCCCGGTGGCTCGTAGCATCTGCTGAAAGCAGCCGAAGCACACCAGCGATCGGGCCACCGCAAGTAACCCCAAAGCTGTCTTTGTACGAATTCTGAGTGACTTCTATAATCTTGTCTCTGGGAGAGGAGAGTTCCTTCTTCAGCTCTTCTCTCGTCGTGGCCAGAGGCGAGACAGTTACCGTCACTACCCGTCAAGGCTCCTAGACGGGCATTACAAACGAGGCGTTACTGACATCCACCAGGTGCTCTCTGCTAATCATTTAATTCATTCACAAATTCCTTTTTGTGTCATTTTCAACAAGAAATTGGTGTGTCTGATGTGATAATGCTCCACTGAACACAAATAGACCAAGAAGTAAGCGCCGAAATTTTGTTGCAGTATCCCTTTAATATTTCCCAAATTTTCCAAAATGCTAATTTTTTTAGATTTTTTTTTTCTTTCTCATCTTACGATTAGGAGCAAGTTTCCCATTGGGCCGCATGTCTGGGTAATACTATATCCACACAATAATTTATTACCATTTTTTTATGCACTAAGATTAAGTTGTTGCCAGATGCAGGTCATTCCCAGTATCCTGCACAGCTTCTCTTCTGAAATGAACACTCTTCTCTCTCCCTTCTAGGGCAATGCTGCAGGCCAGCTGGCCCCCAAAAAGTGTTCAAACACATAAGAGGAAAGGGGGAGGAGACCTCACCACAAATCTTGAGTGGTGCTTCCAGCTCCAACAGTATAGGCTGGCTGAGGAACACTTCACGGGACTTGAGGCACAGACCACGGATCTCGTTCTCCGACAGCTGCACATTCTTGCCAGGCCGGGAGCCACGAACTGCGCCACAAAAACAAGTAGGAAGTTTAACTTCTATGAACTAAAGAAAAGCCTTCAAGAACATGCAGGTTTGGACACAGCATGTATCAGGGCCATTCTCCACATTAAAGCAATATTGACAGCGCGAGACGCGATTAGTCGGCAGTCACCTCCTTTCAACTTGTTTTCTCTCTCGGCATTTTGGCCATGTGGAGAAGAAGTGTAGCAGCTTCGCCTTCACGACCGAGATGGTCATTCCAGAATGACCAGTGATGTCATGGACTAAGATTTATCTTTTTTTGCACATAAAATTTATTTTTGACACTCGTGTCTCGACTAGACTGATTTAAAAAAAAACTATTTCCTCTCAAGGCTTTTTTAAACTCTCAGAAGATCTCCAAGGTTGCTATTGAAAATCCACTGATGCACGAATTCAGAAAAGATTAATTTGTCACGACCCAGAAACATGCGCAATTTGGTTCCGGCAAACAATAACTTGCTGGCTTTGGACATACAGTCAGTAAGATACCAAGTACATTATCAGTTTATGGGCTTGCTAAAAGTGATAACCTGTTGGCAGAAGTTCTAGATAATCTTGCATCCAATGATGACTGCCAATGCAAATAAATGGCCCTCCAAAACATCCAGAGATCTGAAGGGGATAGCATAAAGTGACAGTCTAAAAGCTGGTAGGCACCTCACAGATGATTCCTCTAAAAAAAGCCATGCCCTCCCAACCAACTGGCCTAATCAAAATCAAAAAGTGTGCAAATGTTTTTGTGTATCTTGAGACTGGCTGTTACAGTATTTTGACCTGTACATAGATCACTGCTCTGGTAGAGCTCCAAGAGACCTGGGAAGAGGGATCAAGTTCATTTTCACCTCCTAGCCACAAAGAGACCTCAGCTTGCAAGGCCACGCACTTGGACAGCACTTGCAGTAAAGTGGGCGAATGCAGAGAAGCGGCCGATGCGGCTACAATAACACAACCCGCTAGAGCACGAGACACACAATGGGATGCTTACAGAGTACTTAGAAATGCAAAGCAAATGTGGATTGACAGTTTAAGAGAGCCAGACCTAAATAGCAGATAAAAGGCCAAAAGAGCGGAAAGAAGGAGGGCTTTCTTTTTTCTTCTGGCACATCTATTGTGCAATAATTTCACAAGTTGGTCTTGCTCAATAAAAGTTTGTCAACCACCATTAAGCGACAACAGTCAGAGACAGTGGCGTCACTAGAGTCAGCGGCACCCGGGGCGATGTCCGCGGCTACACCCCCTTCCCCCCAGCTCGTTGCCCGCCGCGACCCTCCCCCCCCCTCCCTCTCGCGGCCCACCGCGACACCCACCGGAGCGCTGCACCCAGGCCCGTCTCCCCCCCCCCCCCCCCCCCCGCACCCCCCTTGTGATGCCACAGGCCAGAGAAGAAAATTATTCCAAAGCAACCACAAATAAAGAAGTACAAGCCATCCATCGGATGTCAAGAAAGGATATTTCAGCAAGCTCTATTTAGGACAATTGGAGTATTCTAAACGAGCAACCCAAAGACCTCACTGACACTGATGTGTGAAAATAAAGTAGTTTCTGCTTGATATCTAGTAGGAATGGGCACGAGATGCCATTACACTTTGACCAACGAAAATCTATCGGCACCGTTCCCCTCTTGCCTTGTGAACAAAATTACTTCAACAAATAACATTTCTTAGAATAACATCCCCCCCCCCCCCCCCCCAACTTGTCGAAAGGAAGATACCAACAGATATATTTTCAAAGAGGGTGATACAAGATTTCACTGACAACCAAAGTAATTCTTGAAAATCTGCAAGGTGGCCCAGTTTAGTAAAAGGTGACACTTTGTACACCCTTCTTTCTCTTCGATAGGATGTGGCAAAAAAGCAGAATTTTGAATATTACGATGTCTACAACCTATAAAAAACCTACCCTTATTTACAAGAAAATTAAAAGAGAAAACATACTTTTGACAATCTACAATTCATTTTATCTCTAAAAAGAAACACCTGCAAAATTTCAAGCACCAGTTTGCTGATCTATTTTTCCTACCCAAATACCTTATTCTCAAGTTTAAGTCCTGTGATGTGATTAGTCAGTCATTTGAAGCAACTAAAACTACATTCAGAACGGCAAAAAGACTTTTAGAATAGAAGCATATACTGTAAACAACTTAATTTTCGCGAATTTCGCAAATTGAAATGAATTGCAAAACTGCTTATCCCGCTAATATATCACCACACTATAAAGAATATACAGCCTACTCCTCCTACTCATGAAATATTGTGCCCACAAAATATTTCTACATTTCACATTTCGCCAAATTTCATAAATAGTTTCACGAAAATAGTTTTCATTCATTTAACTGCAAATATTATGTTTAAGATTCATCTATTGGGCTGTAAAACTAATAATTGTTTCCTCATTCCTGTGAAACTACTCATTACATCCACTGCATAAACTATAGTCATTTAGTTTTGCTGAAAAGCACCAGACACACCTACAGGTATATTGCAACGGCCTTTAATTTTTTTTAGAAAGCCCATTGCAGCAGTTTTTTTTTGTTGTTTTTTTTAAAGATATGACTGATGTATATAGCATGAACATTTGTAAATGTTTATTTTAGGTAGGACATGAAAGGAAAACTAAATGCACCGACATGTTTAACTTTCTATACCAAATCGGATATTTTGCTTAAGTTCTGAAGGTTGCAATAGAACTGAATTCTCGAATTCAGTTAAGAATAAAACTTTTGCTACTTCATCACCTATATCAAGGTGTCTGAAGCACGTGGCCCGCGACTCACTGGGATGCTGCCCGCAAGCAACTGGCTCCGAGTGCCCGTTCCCGTGTCCTGAGCGATACAAATAGTGATTTCATGTCACCAATATATTTTTGTTCGAAACATAGCTCTGCTCTTATTGGGGCGGAGATCGAGCAGTGGCGTTCCCTAACGGCCTCTCGGGAACTACCGCTGTGTGGCAAACAAACCTTTCGACCGCAGTCATTAGTGGATTCGCTGCCATAAAAGACGACGACGCAAGGCTCCTGAAAGGTATGTGGCCCTATTCTCTTCTCCTAAACGCATCTAGATAAACGTAATCTAGCCCCTCTTGCATTCAATGTCATCGAAGCCCTCTTCGAAGGCAAAACAAGCACATTCGTGGTAGTGACGAACTCAGATTTGGGGGGGGGGGGGGGGGGAGGGGCGGAAAATTTGTAAGGATACTATTGTCCCACCCCACTTTTTCTTGTGCACCGGGGGGGGATCCACCGATGTCAAATCGCCCTTCGAGAAGGGCGGAGAGGGGCGACTTTGTTTGGGGGGGCAGCTGCCCTCGTCGCACCCCCCCATTGGATCCGCCCAATGGGGGGGGGGGGGTTTGGATATCCTGACCCTCCTTGAATTCTGCATGTGTAAAACTTTAGGGTGGAGAAACAGGGGGAGGGGGAGGTTCTAATCATATGATACACCGATTTCCCCCCCCCCCCCCACTTTTTATGAAAATACCTGCATCCGCCCCTGTGCCGGGCCACATCCTGTTGGCCGTGTGCCCTGGACAGTGCGTGGCCGGCGCGGCCGTCCATGTTCTTCTAAATTATTCACAAAACATGCACACCACTTTTCAGTTACCCCGTCTCTTGCGACAATCATGGACAACATCGGCAAAATCAAGCGGCGTCTCGTTGAAGAGGACGTGCTTAACTGTGATCATGTCATCAAGTGCAGCGTTGCACCACAGCTGACGGCGGACAGTGTTTGCATCGTATTCGCCTCGAGATCGAACCGTGCCGCCACCGTGCGGCCGAAATTGGAAACGCGCGAAAGCGGGGATACCGCCGTGCGTCGTCTACTACGGACGCACGCTAAGAAGCATGGATCTCAACGACGCAAGCCCGTTTCAAACTGAGCTTGACACTCCTTATTAAATGTTTTATGTTTTTCTTGCTTCTTACTAAAGGTTGTGTTGCATCGTTTGCCATGCGTAGAAATTTAGCAAAGCAATTATTATTATTAATTCGGAAGCTTCCATAATCTTAGTGTGTTGTTTTTTATACAATCGCTGGTCCCACGTATTTTTGTTATCTCGCACAAACCGTGGCTTTCATAAAGCATTGAATGTTGAGTGGGTCTGTGGTTTGGTTAGAAAATTAATCCCACTGATCACTATCCTACAATAGACTAATCAATCAATAAATCCGTATGTTGATCTTCCCCGGTCATATTGCATAAAAGACGTTAAAACTACACATTCTTTCACTGGTTTTACTATGTCATAAATGGCATATTGCATTCCCATTCTAAACTTCACGTTGTGGGTCCTACAAAAATATGAACACGGGAAGCCTTTTAAAACGAAGTATCTTTTAACTTATTATTTAAACAGTATAATCACCCTCAGCGAAATGACAAGCACGCTGAAGTGGCTTACCGTGCAGGCCTGTGTCGCAAAAGAAGTAAAGACGTCAAAAATATTAAAGCGGGCATATTTTACTCCTTGTTGACTTTCTCCAGCATAAGACTCCAGTTAACCGGCAAAAAAATTGCAATTAAAGCATTACTTGAATGATCTGAAAGTTAATAGATGAACTGCCCAGTCCCGATATACGTTAGGTGAGGGCAGAGGGTGATCGGAAAGTCTCGTGAAGGTCGCTAGCCCTCATCAGTAAAAGAGTATCACTTCGGCCGATGCTGTCTGTGTCGTGGTGCGCGTCGTTTGTTTGGGTTGCAAAGTCTACCGTGTTTGAATACAAGATTATTTAGCCAGAAATTTATAGTATTAGCCTCTTGACATCCGCAGCCCTCACCAAGAAGATTGAAGCGGGTGAACCCACACTACCGAGAAAAGCATTTAATAATAACATTGCTGCGTCGCTCTGTTACACTCGTTTATTACAGTCACAGCTGATATATTAGAACAGTTTGTTTGACTTGTTTCAGTTGTCCTGCCAACCGTGCAGTTTGCAGATTTTAACTAGAAGAGACACCCTCTCCTCATTGCAACGCAGTAGA